ATTCACAAGGCCCCATTCAGCCTTATGTTAATATAGTGTGAAGTGTAGGCCATACATTGCGCATCTGTTCAAAGAAATTGTCATATTTTTCTCTGTGTGAGGTTGAAGAGTAACATAGCTGTGAAAATGATGTCTCGTGTCTGTCACAGGGATGTGACTGAAGTCAAAGTTGTAACAGTCAGCTAAACCCAACACTTCAAAGGGTTATATCTTCCCTTCCTTCCTCCATGCATTAGAGCAGTAGTTCTCAACCTGGGATATTAGTACCCCTGGGGGTACCTGGCCTATCCACAGGGGGTACTTTGGAAGACTCATAAGGTCGAAGGATCAGTTGCACACGAGGGGGTACTTTGGGTAGAATAAAATGTGATTGGGGGTTCAGGTACCAAAAGATGTGGAGAACCACTGCCTATTGAGTGTCCATTTGAAATTGTGCTCACTGAATCCTGCCGTAGACATGCCTATCCTCTCTCACAGTCCAAATAAGCCGGCCATGATGGGCATGAGCCAGATTCACCGACATGGCCATTCCTTTCACCAGACTTTGGGTCATACGGCTCCCAGCTAAGCTCGAAAAAAAAACATCTGCAGCTTTTCAAAGCTGTTTGCTTAGCGCCCCTCATGCTCGTGTGGATGATTACATCACAATCCAGTCGGCAGGATGTGGCAGTTAGAGCAACGGAAAAGCAATACCAGCTGTAGACTCCCCAGGAAATGAGTATTGTCTGAGTGTAATAACTAAGGAATAATGCATTTGTTCAGGGGGTCAAAATTAGGCCTTGTCTAAAAACCAGACTTTCAAGAGTAAAATGGCTCATAGATACGTGGCCGTGACACATATACAGGAAGTTACTCACAATAATGTTATTCGGCTTTCTAGGATGGTATTTTATTCATTTTTTTGTTATTACCACAATTACTAGTGTACTCAGTGGAGTATATTAAAAGACTTGGGGCTCCCTCTTGTGGCTGAAACATGACACCTCAGACCAACTGAAAAGGATATATCGCAGTAGCCTACTTCGACAAAGACGTAATTGAAAGGAGTCCACTATAGTCACCCGTACAGTGATCATTTGGTTTGTAACCTCCTCGTCCCTAGGCTATTCCGCATGTGCTTGGAGAGGAAGTCTGGTGCAAAATACTTATCACTGACATTCCAGAGATCAGTACAGTGCCTTGGCAACAGAGTAAACACTAAGGTCTTAATCTTTTTCTGGTAATGATGAGTACTTCAACACTAGAGAAGAAGTAAATTAGTTATGGCCCAGAAGAGGGATTATATCAAAGTCAGTATGTGTGTTCAATAAGAAACCCCTAACCCAAATAAGTGGTCCCTTTCCGCTATATACAGTATCATTCATTCTATGAAGGACAAAGAAGTTTTGCAAAGACCATTCATTTCTCAATGAAGTGTTCTAGATATTTCAGATCTACAGTACCAGTCAAAAGTTTGGACACACCTACTCATTGAAGGGTTTTTCTTTATTTTTTAAAAACTATTTTCTACATTGTAGAATAAGTGAAGACATCAAAACTATGAAATAACACATATGGAATCATGTAGTAACCAAAAAAGTGTTAAACAAATCAAAATATATTTTATATTTGAGATTCTTCAAATAGCCACCCTTTTCCTTGATGACAGCTTTGCACACTCTTGGTATTCTCTCAACCAGCTACACCTGGAATGCATTTCCAACAGTCTTGAAGGAGTTCCCACATATGCTGAGCACTTGTTGGCTGCTTTTCCTTCACTCTGCCGTCCGACTCATCCCAAACCGTTTCAATTGGGTTGAGGTCGGGGGATTGTGGAGGCCAGGTCATCTGATGCAGCACTCCATCACTCTCCTTCTTGGTAAAATAGCCCTTACACAGCCTGGAGGTGTGTTTTTGTCATTGTCCTGTTGAAAACAAATGATAGCCCCACTAAGCCCAAACCAGATGGGATGGTGTAGCGCTGCAGAATGCTGTGGTAGCCATGCTGGTTAAGTGTGCCTTGAATTCTAAATAAATCACAGACAGTGTCACCAGCAAAGCACCCCCACACCATAACACCTCCTCCTCCATGCTTTACAGTGGAAACCACACATGTGGAGATCATCCGTTCACTCACACTGTGTCTCACAAAGTCATGGCAGTTGGAACCAAAAATCTCCAATTTGGACTCATCAGACCAAAGGACACATTTCCACCGGTCTAATGTTAATTGCTCGTGTTTCTTGGTCCAAGCAGGTCTCTTTTATTATTGGTGTCCTTTAGTAGTGGTTTCTTTACAGCAATTCGACCATGAAGGCCTGATTCACAGTCCCCTCTGAACAGTTGATGTTGAGATGCGTCTGTGACTTGAACTCTGTGAAGCATTTATTTGGGCTGCAATCTGAGGTGCAGTTAACTCTAATGAACGTATCCTCTGCAGCAGAGGTAACTCTGCTGTTTTTGAAATATTGACTGACCTTCATGTCTTAAAGTAATGATGGACTTTCATTTCTCTTTGCTTATTTGAGCTGTTCTTTCCATTTTACCAAATAGGGCTTCTGTATCTTCTGTATACCCACCCTAACTTGTCACAACACAACTAATTGGCTGAAACGCATTAAGGAATGAAATTCCACAAATTTACTTTTAAGAAGGCACACCAGTTAATTGAAATGCATTCCAGGTGACTACCTCATGAAGCTGGTTGAGAGAATGCCAAGTGTGCAAAGCTGTCATCAAGGCAAAGGCTATTTGAAGAATCTCAAATATATTTTTATTAGTTTAACACTTTTTTGGTTACTACATGATTATTATTTCATAGTTTTTATTCTACAATGTAAAAAAAATAGTAAAGATAAAGAAAAAAGTTGATTGAGTAGGTGTGTCCAAACTTTTGACTGGTAGTGTATATTTCACTTGTAGTTATTCCTAGGACAGGAATTGGACAGAGGACACATTTTGTACATAAAATGTCACACAAATCACTACATTACAGGCTGGTGTATCCAACATTTATTTGTCATTTTAAAAACTGTTGAGGACAATCAAAATATAAATACATCTCTCCCACACACAAAATAGGCTGTGCACAGCACCAGACAACACATGCACTCTCACACACGCTCTCGCACACACACTCTCTTTCACTCAACACAGGCCCCTGAATTGGATCTCAAAATGTGCAATCACAACAAAATAACATTAAACAGTATTAAACTGCATCATCTGGTCTCCTCCTTAAGTAGTCCTCTCAACGACGGGCAGAGATTCCATCAATCTGGAGTGTATTCACTAGGAACCAAACGGAAGTAAACAGGCCAAAAATGGGAGGGACCTACCTGAATTTTCCAATAGGACTTTTTTTTCTGTAGCAAAACTTTTTTGCACTAATGAATACACCCTTGAACACACGTTAAAAAACACATTCACCCTGCCCGGGTCTCGTATCAAATACTTATTTTTTCTGATGGGGAAGCAATACAAATGTAAAATAGAGGTCCATGATTGATCAAAGAGTTTAGAAATTAAGGGATGGGATAAACTTAAGGATAAATATGTCCACTGGCCACCACAGTACATTTAGGGTAGATGAAAATGGCAAAAACATATATATACTGAACAAAAATATAAACGCAACATGTAAAGTGTTGGTCCCATGTTTCATGAGCTGAAAAACAATATCCCAGAAATAAGCACAAAAAGCTTATTTCTCTCAAATTTTGTGCATACATTTTATACATCCCTGTTTGTGAGCATTTCTCCTTTGTCAAGATAATCCATCCAACTGACAGGTGTGGCATATCAAGAAGCTGATTAAATAGCATGATCATTACACAGGTACACCTTGTGCTAGGGAAAATGAAAGGCCACTCTAAAATGTGCAGTTGTTACATTATACAATACCACAGATGTCTCAGGTTGAGGGAGTGTGCAATCGGCATGCTGACTGCAGGAATGTCCACCAGAGCTGTTGCCAAATAATTTAAATGTTTATTTCTATAGCATACGCCGCCGCCAACGTCATTTTAGAGAATTTGGCAGTACATCCAACCGGCCTCACAAACGCAGGCGACGTATAACCACGCCAGCCAGGACCTCCACATCCGGCTTCTTCACCAGCGGGTTCATCAGAGACCAGCCACCCGGACAGCTGATGAAACCGTGGGTTTGCACAAACGAAGAATTTCGGCACAAACTGTCAGAAACCGTCTCAGGGAAGCTCATCTGCGTGCTTGTCATCCTCACCAGGGTCTTGACCTGAAAACCAGTTGCATTGTAACTGACTTCAGTGGGCAAATGCTCACCTTCAATGGCCACTGGCACGCTGGAGAAGTGTGCTCCCCATGGATGAATCCCGATTTCAACTGTACCGGGCAGATGTCAGACCGCGTGTATGGCGTCATGTGGGCGAGTGGTTTGCTGAGTGCCCCATGGTGGCGGTGGGGTTATGGTATGGGCGGGTATAAGCTAGACAATGGACACAATTGCATTTTAAAGCTCTGACGAAAGCCTTGAGGCTGATACGTAAAGCTTAATAAAGAGCAGTGATACTAGCAAGAGCAGTGTGCGGGTTTCTTTTTTTCTACTCATCGATGCCAATTTGAATGCTATGACAAGATCCTGAGGCCCATTGTTGTGCCATTCATCCGCCGCCATCATCTCAGGTTTCAGCTTGATAATGCACGCCCCCATGTCACAAGGATCTGTACACAATTCCTGGAAGCTGAAAATGTCCCAGTTCTTCCGTGGCCTGCATACTCACCAGACATGTCACCCATTGTGCATGTTTGGGATGCCCTGGATCGACGTGTACGACAGCGTGTTCCAGTTCCCGCCAATATCCAGTAACTTCGCACAACCATTGAAGAGGAGTGGGACAACGTTCCACAGACCACAATCAACAGGCTGATCAACTCTATGCAAAGGAGATGTCGCGCTGCATGAGGCAAATGGTGGTCACACCAGATACTAACTGGTTTTCTGATCCACGCCCCTACCTTTTTTTAAAGGTATCTGTGACCAAATGCATTTCAGTATTCCCAGTTATGTGAAATCCATAGATTAGGGCCTAATGAATTTATTTCAATTGACCTTATATGTACTGTAACTCAGTACAATCTTTGAAATTGTTCCATGTTGCGTTTACATTTTTGTTACGTGTATATGGGAACCAACTGATAGATAGATGTACAATGTGATAGGACTGGGGATTCATCAAATGCGATCAAAAACTTATGTTAAGTCCCTCTTCTGGCCGAGTGATTCGGTCTTTCATTCTTTGTATGGATGAGGGATGTAAAAACTAAAAACTAATGGGAGACACAGCAGTCAAATTTCCTTTCATGAGGGAGATTTTTCGGATTCTTATGTTTCTTGCCATGTTAGTTAGCGTCAGTTTGTAGTCACTTCCCATTTACAGATAGGCCCTTCCGGAGACTGATGAACAGTCTGGTTTGCTCTTGTGCCAAACACTCCACTAAGATGCCTTTCCCAGTTCAATCTTCTTCTGGATGGCTTTTGCCGAGTGGTATATCAATGAATCAATTAGTCCAGCCACTGGGAAAATATACAAGATAAAGTAAATTAAAATGACAACTCTCTGACACACATACAGTAGCACCACAGTTCATATGGCTCATTCCAACAAACTCAACTGTACCTCCAGTTCTGCATAGTATACACTACCTTCAAACTGAGAAAGCCATCACTAATTACAAACAATATGAAATTATATTAAAGATGTAGTGAGTGAAATGTTTGCCATGTGTACTGCATTTGTAATATGGGAATGCAGAGGTGCCCACCTGTAAATACACCTCCTACGATGGCACACACTCCTGTAAGAAAATGAGTGAATGATCTGGAAAAAAGAGCAAATAACATGTTTGATTTAACCACAGCTTACTATTTATATAGGCTACACAATGACAAGGTTATATGGATGTACACCACATGTCCAAAAGTATGTGGACACCTGCTCGTCGAACATCTCGTTCCAAAATCATGGGCATTAATATGGAGTTGGTCCCCCCTTTGCTGCTATAACAGCCTCCACTCTTCTGGGAAGGCTTTCTACTAGATGTTGCAACATTGCTGCGGGGACTTGCTTCCATTCAGCTACAAGAGCATTAGTGAGGTCGGCACTGATGTTGGGCGATTAGACCTGGATTGCAGTCGGTGTTCCAATTCATCCCAAAGGTGTTCGATGGGGTTGAGGTCAGGCCTCTGTGCAGGCCAGTCAAGTTCTTCCACACCGATCTCAACAAACCATTTCTGTATGGACCTCGCTTTGTACACAGGGGCATTGCCATGCTGAAACAGGAAAGGGCCTTCCCCAAACTGTTGCCACAAAGTTGGAAGCACAGAATCGTCTAGAATGTCATTCATTGTATGCTGTAGCGTTAAAAATGTCCCTTCACTGGAACTAACGGGCCTAGCACATGAAAAACAGCCCCAGACCATTATTCCTCCTCCACTAAACTTTACAGTTGGCACTATGCATTCGGGCAGGTAGCGTTCTCCTGGCATCCGCCAATCCCAGATACATCCGTCGGACTGCCAGATGGTGAAGCGCAATTCATCACTCCTGAGAACGAGTTTCCACTGCTCCAGAGTCCAATGGTGGCGAGCTTTACACCACTCCAGCCGACGCTTGGCATAGCGCATGGTGATCTTAGGCTTGTGTGCGGCTGCTCAGCCATGGAAACCCATTTCATGAAGCTCCTGATGAATGGTTCTTGTGCTGACGTTGCTTCCAGAGGCAGTTTGGAACTCAGTAGTGAGTGTTGCAACTGAGGACAGACGATTGTTACGCGCTTCGCCAGTCCCGTTCTGTGAGCTTGTTTGGCCTACCACTTTGCGGCTGAGCCATTGTTGCTCCTACACGTTTCCACTTCACAATAACAGCACTTACAGTTGACCGGGGCAGCTCTAGCAGGGCAGAAATTTGACAAACTGACTTGTTGGAAAGGTGGCATCCTATAACGGTGCCACGTTGAAAGTCACTGAGCTCTTCAGTAAGGCCATGCTACTGCCAATGTTTGTCTACGGCGATTGCATGGCTGTGTGCTCGATTTTATACACCAGTCAGCAACGGTGTGGCTGAAATAGCTGGATCCACACATTTTAAAGGGGTGTCCACATACACTATATATACACAAAAGTATGTTTGAAACTACCTACCGCTGTTTCTCTGTGAATTTGACCATCATAGGGGAGAGTTCATATAACACAAACACACCAGGTAGACCCTGGTCTCCGATCAGCCCATTGGCTACTTTCTCATGTCGCGTTACAGAGAATTGGTTTGTTTTAACCACCTGTAAGACACAAGCAATACAATGATGTCCTTGTTTGATGCCCAAGTACCTTAACAATTAAAAATAGTCATTTCATTTTATGTGATATAGCTATAAGATTAACTCAGTGAAATACCTACAATTTGTAGGTATGGTCAATAGCCAGCCACCAAAGTTCATTTCACAGCTGTCATGTCCAACATATACTCACCTCTCCATCCCATTTCACGTAGATGGTTGGGACAATCTTCACAAAGTATTGATACATCATGGAAGCTGGAATAAAATAAATCGATTGTTTTATCATTTGCAGAGACCAAGCCCATGTAATCTGGACAAATGCAACATTCCACTCTGCATGAACACAGGGAGGCGCTATAGCTTTTAACATCACATAATTAGCTGGCTACACACCCCCTCCGCTAACTGTTGACTTCCTCAAGTAATGGCCGCATGCTAGAAAAGCATTTCAAGTATCATCGAAAAAGAAAAGCTTGTCTTCTCAGTTGACTGATAACCATAGAATTAGAACATAGGATATGCTGATAACTCACATTATGTCATAAACCAATGCAAAGACAGTACAACTCTGTGGATAAATCAAGTATTCTTAGCGTGGTCATTAATATATATAAAAAAAATCCCCGCATAGGTATTTCATTTGGAACAATAAAGATATTTTGTATAGAAACAAGTCTTAATTTTTTAACAACTGGTTTAATAATCATATCCTGCTGGTGAGTCAACTTTTTAGGATTGTTACTCAATTATTAGGAATTTTTATCTCGTTACAATATCCGTTACGCCTAGAGTTCGCCATAGTCTTTGATGAGATTCCATCTGGAACTCTCATGTTGTTTAGAGGTGTAACCAGACCTCACCTTCTTGAGATACCCTCGCTTAATCCAGTTGACTCTGCAATAGGAAGAATGTGTTTCTCCTTGCTCCCTCTGAACAACATATCTATACGTGCTTTATTTCAAAGGGATTTTGTATCAATACCTTATGTCACAACTTACTGGAATACATTTGTCAATAATATCTGTTGGGCAAAAAAAGTCTGGTTATTACCACAAAAATAGCTGCTTGTTAACAAAGTCAAAGAGGTATTTTTCAGTATTATCCATAAGTATTACCCTGCGAATCATTACCTGAAGAAACTCAATGTCTACATGTAAAGAAATTATGGCAAGATATTTATAGTTTTATAATTGTTAATATTCTTGATGACTTTAGTTTATTATGGGAGAATGTGGTGCCCGGTCTTCTTAACTATAACAATTTTACCTATTAAATCTAATTGTGCTAATGGCAAAATGTCATATTCATAAATGTAAATTCACTAATAAAAAAAACTCTTCCATGTTTTCTATAAGTTGTTCGAGCAGTACATTTAGACCATTCTACTTTCTTCCAATAACAAAGCCGTTAAAACAGTCAATACGTGTCTGTCTTTTAAGGTCTTTGTATAATCTGTAATTTGTTGTACCCCCTAGCATATGTTGTTATCATTGTCTGTTTGTATACTGTTTTTTCTGCAATACAAATAAAATAACAAATATAAATAACAAAACATCTCTGTGGGTAAGTGCTTCTGCTAATAATAGTGACACTGTAGAAAATATATCTAGTCGGGCGTCATAAATATCCTGTCAAGGTTTTCAAGGCCAGAGCTAGGTGACATGCTAACCAGTTATCCAGCCAAAACGCAGCTAGCTAGCAGCTGGGTAAACAGAAGCTCAAGATAAAAGGTGGACAAAGTTTGAACGTCTGCATGCAGCCATGCACGTGACAACACATTAGTTAGCTACATATCAAAATCAGCTTTCAGTGGCAAAGGTCTATATTGCTTGTGCAAATAACGTTGATAGCTAGCTAACTCCGCTAGCTTACTTTGCCACTCGTGTACCTTAAAAGCAGATTTATGGTCATTCCAGGGTCTGCATTGGCCGTACAGCATTTACTGCAATGCGGCCTCAGCAGAAGTCAGGGCATTCACACTTCTTGCGTTTCTCTTTCGCAGAGCTGTTGTCAAGGAGGTGGGTTTGTGTTTATACAGGACGTACCGCTCCCACCTACCGTAAACCAATCAGAGCTATACCAAAGACAGTACAGTATGAAGATAGGCTCAAACTGCTTCTCCAATAGAAATACCTGATCACACTTGTAGGCGATTTCATGGCGACGTTGGCTAGCTAAGCTCATGCGTAGAAACACATCATCAGGGTATAACAGTCGTCTCGTGCCAAACTGCACATGTGCAGGCTGTCAAATCAAAGGCACTACTTTGATATTTTTGAAAACGTGTCAGTTTGTCACTGAGGTCGGAGTCATAACATGTTCAACTACTTAAGACATTGGCTCTAATATAGGTTGTGCCTTTAGATTTCAAGAAAATTAACAACTAAGGAAGAACTTCTCATTGGGTGTTTCTCAAAATGCACATTACTGTGCTCCGAGCACGCGAATTGGAGCACAGGAGGGTCTGAGTCCAAATCAAAGTATGTGAAACGGACCAGAGGGCACTTCTTGAATGCGTACTCCGTTTGTACATATTTTGAAGCATACATCGATGCAAGCTTCAACGGAAAGTATGCTAAGAGATGACGCAACCACATACAAAATGATGCAACATTTCTTGAAATCAATGGTGGCCATTATTTGTGCTGAAGCAAGAGAAAATACACTGACATCTCATGTGTTGCCTGACTACAATATTTTATCTCGATACGTTAATAAATACATGCTGTGTTAATTTTGGCATGTTTAATATAATAATAATAATATGCCATTTAGCAGACGCTTTTATCCAAAGCGACTTACAGTCATGCGTGCATACATTTTTGTGTATGGGTGGTCCCGGGGATCGAACCCACTACCTTGGCGTTACAAGCGCCGTGCTCTACCAGTTGAGCTACAGAGGACCACCTGCCTATGTACCGTATATCGCAAGCCTATAATAAGTCAATAGGGCTAACTGGCTAGCTACTAGTACTGTTAACTAGCCAGACAGCCACGAATAATTGTTAGCTAGCTACCCAAGAAGAATTGACATCTATCTTGCATAATATTAGTTTTAGTTAATTTTTGCCTGTTTAACTAGCTAGCTATATTATTACAATTCACATATCTAGCTGATAATTATGAAGTAAAACGTTTGATTTGCGTAGATCTTTTTTCGTCTATTGTTGCTATTGTCCTGGCTGGAAGAAGGTTCAGTAAATGGGGAGGTGAAGCGTGAGGTAATACAGTGCTTCTCAAATGTATTGTTTTATGCATTCTCCACACTCTCGTCCTCACAAGAACGTACTCAAGAGAACATCGTCAGAGAATGCACTCGGAGCATGAGAGTGTAGAGCACGGTAGTATGCATATTGAGAAACACCCATTGACTTGTCAAACCCCAAACCCAAGCCTGGTCTGTTTGGTCTGTTTCGTAAACGTTCCCGGAAGTCTCTCGATGTTGTGCCTCTGGCTTTAGAAACTCTGTGGCTATACGGAGCCCTCCACATTGTTACAACATTTGGGAAGCGCACGGCGATGCGGTACGGAACTTGATTTGGCCTCCGCAAGCCTCGCAATTGTGTCACACCCTCCGTACGGAGCCTCCGGATCACCTTCCAGATCAAGCATAAATCAGTAGGACCTATGGCCAGCAACAGCCAGCCTGCTTTGACAGCATTTAAAATGGGATTCATGATGGGCTTTGCAGTTGGGATGGCAGCTGGTGTCATGTTTGGAACCTTTTCCTGTATAGGGTTAACTAGCTAAGATAATCCAAAGTCCTAACTACTTACAAGTAGGCCTACACTGAAATGAAAGACATAAGAATGCCATAGTCTGTACTTGGGCATCACTGATTTCTTTACTATATCAGTTTTGATATGACTTTGATGCAGCCATCCATACTGCATATTGTGGTTTGTTCAATAGAACTCCATAGTGTTATGTGATTTTGTTCAAATGCTGTATTCTTACTTCCCTCAGGGTTGGCATGAGAGGCAGAGAGCTGATGGGAGGAGTTGGGAGATGATGATGATGATGATGATGCAGAGTGGAGGCACGTTTGGTGTATTCATGTCCATTGGGATGGGCACCCGCTGCAGAGACCACCTCTACCGCACTTACTTATAATTACACAACGGGACTTTTGTAATACCTCTTATTCCCATGTCACAATTCTTCCATAGTTCTTGGACAAAATATGTCAATAAAGGCTGTGATTTCAATTGCTGGTAGTAGGTCTAAGTCAAATGTTTGGTGTGGCGCTTTTGATAAATGGGATGATTACTAACCTTGTGGTGCCGTAACATCGGTGCCATCCAAAGGATTGACAATACCAGGGTAGTCCCTCCCAAAGGATAGATGCTTGATCAAGTGAGTCATGTTGATCTTTTGGACACAAGAAATACAAATAAGCGCTTAAAAAGGGGTATGGATAACACTGCCTTGGAAAGCCAAGTAAAAGATTTGACTTACGTTGTCTAGTCCAAAGCTCTGCAGATCATGAACTGAAATTAAATTGAGACAATATGTCAGTAATGCTGTGATCTGATAGAACGCCATCAGTTACTGTACATGTTCTGTTTACCAAGAGTATATGAGGGTTTACTATTCTCATAACATCTACAGCTCTCCCATTACAAGCTATTGTTGAGCCCACAGCCCTCAAATGCGATGTTCTTGATTACTGCTTGTACCACCTCCATTAAAGATCAAACCAACAATCACATGCTGGTTATTCAAAAGGACAGTTTCAAATCAGTTGGAAGCAGCTTTGGTTGTCTTCGCTAGGGTTTAAGTAACCGGGTCGATTCTGACTGACAACCTCTTCAAATACCAAGTTTGATATTTGACTGGACAATTTAGAAGGGAGTGATGTGGGGGGGGGATGTGGCCTGAGTGCCAGTCTGTTTGTTCTATCATGCCAACTCCTTGTCACTCATTGGCCTTTCCTCATTTGGGCAAAAGTCCATCCTCTCTCCTCCGTGACCCGGAAACCATTAAGTGGTCGAGGAGAGTGTCAATTTGTTAGTAAGCGAACGGAAGAGTATCCACCCCTCCTCGATAGCCACCTTTCATCAAGAATAATCATGTGTATCCTACCGGAGTCCTTCGCCGGAAGAGTTTTGATATCTGCTTTGAAGCAGTTGTTTTCTCGAAGGAGAAAACCATGCAAACATTTAAAAACGATATGCTACTTATCCTTTTATACATATGAAATATATTGCAGAACTAGCTAAATGTTTTATCACTTTACACATTTATTTTGAGATTTCACCCCTGTAAACATAATTTGCCTGAAGCGCATTTTCATCCACATTCCTTCTCCTCGATTACCTTTGACCTTTTTCAAAAGGAGGCGAGAGAGGACGCAGGAGTTGAGCAAATCCAATTGAGAAAAGGCACGGTGATGCCAAACTTGGTCTTTGGCTGGATAAGGACAGCAATGGAGTAGGCAAGAACACAAACCGATCTGGGACCATGCTGGGGGGGGGGATGTTTACTACAAAAATAAAAGCTACAAAAAGATGGACTTACTTTCCACAGCGTGCACTGCAGAAAGAAGAGAGAAGAGTCACTATATGACGCATGTTGGGCTACACAGAAAAAGCCAGTCCTAAGAGGCTGGTCAAAGGCAATCAGTCTCTGAATGGGGTTCATCACATCTGGTATTTCATATATGGCCAAATTCTTATCACAAGGAGATTCTTGTCTCGTTTTTACCTTTAAGCAGACAGGGAGAGTAGTACTAGTCTAGCAAATAAAAAAGAGAAAATAAAAGCAGCATTAAGCTGGTGAAGCGTTCTGCTCTAAGTTTTCGGTACACGCCGTTCATTATGACAAAGGACACCTTTCAATGCCTCCAAGCAAGTTGAGAGACTAGTACTTAGCTTCATCTGGTTATGTACCATGTTACTTTATCAGCAATTCTTGAGAAATTCTTGATAAGGGTAAATCAAATGAAAACAGTACCTTCTCAATGTTTTTTCAATGACAAATACATACTTTTAAATGAATTAGGCCTGTATTCACACAGTAACAAAGGTTACATCAGTGACATTTTGTAGTAACTTTTGTCAAGCCTATCAAGATTACACCAATTGAATTTAAAAATTCATTGCAATTCATTTTTTGCAATCAGTTTGCCCAAAAAATTAATACATTTCACATTTTATTTTCAAATATAACTTGATTAGTATGTTAGTGTTATTAGTAGGCCACATTAATGATAAAGCTAGTGAGTCAATTATCAATTTACAGTCAACATGTTACATTTATATGTGGGAAAGATCTATTTTGTTTGATATACAAATATTTTCACCTGTGCCACAAAGATATAAAAGGTCAGAGGTTTTCATGAAATAAAAAATAAGATACAATTAATGACTCAGATTGAAACTGATCTGAGGAGGAAAGAAGGGAAGAAGTCTAGAAAATGAAAGGAATTATGAAAGAGAGAAAGACATACACCATTTGCCAAATGTTTTCCTACACAGTGTTTTACTGGAAAGACTAGTGATGGATGCACTAGAAATGCCTTTACTGGTCTCTGTGACTTGCAACAAAAAGAGAGCAAGTGAACTTACCGGTTAACATTTTTGTCTTCTGAGAATGTGCTAGGGGAAAAGTCTACACTACGAAAGGGTCTGTACCTACATCTGGTCTGAGACACAACTGGTTTAATAAACCACAGTGTTTCTTCTAGCAAGTAAGCAATTTTAGAATTCCAACCCAAATTAGTCAACCTGTTTCATCTCTATGCAATTCAGAGGATTGACTTTCTGTCATGGGTATGGAATAAAAACAGCATTTCTATTTTCCTTAGGTAGATAATTGATATCAGGTCTTACCATGAACATGGGACTGCTGGAAACTCTTTCCAGGGGCAAAGTGGAAATTTCCTGCCACCTAACAAAAAACAGACAAATTGAAGAGTTCAGAAAAAAGTCTAACAATTAACGTATTATTTGCAGATTGAAAATTTATATGAATGCATTAAAGCACCTCATAACATATTAAATCTCACAGTGGCAGCACATTTCCATCCCTAATTTTATACAACCACAGATAGAATTCTGTTCCCAAAAGTGATGCTTCATTTCAAATCATGTTGTTTTCAACACTGCCTGACCATTTGAAAGCCAGGCAATTGAAAGTCCAAACATTGCCAGCCATTAAATAAAAACGCATTCCTTTTATGAAGTGTTAATCAGTGTGTGAGTACTGACTATTCTTTCGCATTATGAACTTAGCCAAAGCATCCATCTAAGACTAGTTACCTTGTTGACCTCCAGAAAGCCGTAGATCTGGCAACCCTCGTTCTTCTGCTCCTGCATCTTCTGGCTGAAGCCCTCCCTCTTGCACTGCTCGATGGTGTCGGGGTTCTTGAAGGCCCAGCCCCGCCTGCGATAACCCTCTCGTACGTCATCGCAGGTGTTACAGCACCTACAAAAAAGCAAAAGCATAGGCAATATGTCAATTTAACATTCACATTTTGGACAAAAGATGAGCTAATTTGTTGATGGCCTATGTTCTGCAAGAGTTTAGGGCTCAATTAAGTAAGTACAAGCTGTCAAAGGTGGTGGGGGGGGGGGGTCAGTCATGTTTTCTAAATTAATCGTCATGAATTCTTTCTAACAAGTCCAATTTCACAGGCAAGGGATTTAAGCTATGAGATTGACAGGGAAACATCATTTTCTGTCTTTGGTCATGGGAAGTATGTTCTGTATAGCCTGGGAAGGCATTCTGGAGGGCATTCCGTTCATGGGAACTCACTTCAAATCCTCTGTCTCTGCTCCATAGCAGCTTTCACACCGCTCAGGATCTAGTTTACTGGGGTCAAATAATTCACCTTCCTCTTGTCCCAAATCTACATGAGAGACGACAACAAAACAATATCCATGACCCAGTGAAAACAATAACTATTCAATACAATTAATATAGCTTTTATTTTCCCATGAGGGAAAACCTACGCTGCTCTCCATGGTGTAGAATGCTCTTCAAGTAATAGAATGAAATTACAAGCAAGCTATTAGCAAGATGGCTACCATGCTTCTCTGCCTCTGTAGTGACAGGATTGCCATCCTTGTCAAGCCTTTGCTTGAACAGGTTGTGTTCCACATCCAACTGCTGCTCTCCAGCAACGTCCATGGCATCAATGCTGAGATCTGAAGGACAAGGTGATATTACAAATGTCATATACTTCAACTGTGCAATCACCATATTGCTTCATGCATATTCCCCAAAAGAGATTACCTTAGACTTTACTGAGGCATTGTGTTGATTTATGCTACTGTTTTATAATATTTACATTTGACATTTAAGTCATTTAGCAGACGCTCTTATCTAGAGCGACTTACAGTTAGTGAGTGCATACATTTCCATACAGGCCCCCCGTGGGAATCGAACCCACAACCCTGGCGTTGCAAGCGCCATGCTCTACCAACTGAGCTACACAGTACTATCACATTAATATCACATTAACAAGCACATATAGGGGTTAATTGTGCAGGTTTAAGTTTGTCAAACGTGATGATGCATGCTAAGGTCAAGGTTTTTTCTAAAGCTACTTACAGGCACACGGCATGTTAGGAAATATCACATTAATGTTGATTTTCAGTTTGTCTCCTCGTGATGTGTCCACAAACAATTCAGGATGGACCTGTGTTGGCAGAACAATATAAATATTTTGCAAGTCATAAAGCAGTGGTATTTAAAGTGTGGACCGGGCTCCATAGATGAAGTAAAAGTTATGACAGATGGCTAAATAATTATAACAGAACAACATAAAATGATTGTGACATTCCAATCATCCTCAAATAGGCTAGCCAAAAGGATTCGACTCGTTCATTTCTCTCTTGAGTTGTAAAGGTCCCATGACGGAATGTGGACAGACTGAGCCCGGCGCAGTATATGGCTGGGAAAACGTACCTCAGTCCCTAAATGATTAACGGTGAATCGAGAAGATTGAAATAGTGCTAGTTTTTTATTAAACAGCAGTTTTTGCCAGCATGCTAGGCTAGCTAATACTAAAGCAACCCATTGGATTCAACAACACTTCCGGTAGTTACTATCCCAACGCTAGGTGTCCAATTTTCATGGAATCTAATGGGCTGTTATAGCATTAGCTAGCCTAGCATGCTGGCAAAAACGGCAATTCATTTCAAAACTAGCAGCATTTCAATCTTCTCGATTCACCTTTCATCATTTCGGGATGATGTACAACGACATATTCCATCCCTGGATTGAGGTACGTTTTCCCAGACATATAACGCGATGGGCTCTGGCTGTCTACATTCCGGCAAAGCACCATTCCGACTCAAGCGACAGAAATGAACTTGAGTAGGATCCTTTTGGCTAGTCATTGTATTTTAGCACCATGCCCATAATTGGAATGTTAACCATTCACAGTTGCCCAGGTGGCAATGGAGTTGGAATTAACTGGACCTTACATTATATTACCACTAAATAATTACATTGCAATGGGATCGGCTGAAAAAGTTTGAATACCACTGTTATAGAGTATACAAACCACAATAATTGTGGCATGCACAGTTTGAACATACAGAGTGGCTGGCTAGCTGTTATAGTTCCTTGTTGTCATAGTTCTCCATTAGAATATCCTTCCGTTTACAAGTGTGGTCCATACAGAGCAAGCTTCTTACCCACGTACCTGGCTGGCAGACTTAGCATGTTCCCTGACTATTTTCAGAAAATGTACATTAACCCACCTCCTTAGTGAGATAATACTGCAACTCTGAGAAGAACAGGATCAACATGATGAGACCACTTATGATGGTGACTTCAAAAGGGGGAAAAAAATAAATGCATGTCAGAATAGCACCAAATCCCATTGAATTTTAGCAAACAACCTAGTCACCCCCCACCCCACACCCCAGATGAAGCCTAGTCAACAGTCTGACAGATCTAGAATGCTAGCCCAATCACAGTTCTCCTAGTCCTACTAGCTAGCTACTGATAGTAGCAACTGGAGACAGTATATGTTCTGCAAGTAGCTAAGAGCTATCAAAAGTCTACCCAAAAACACTCACCCGTAGCTCCGCCGCATGTTTTAATTCGGAAATCCTCAAGAGTTTTCGGATATGCATCAAATTGTTTCAGTTTATTTAGTGTGTCCATCTTCTTTCACACCGCGGCCTGAAAGAATTCCCGATACACATCAGTCCTCAACGTTCACTTCCGGTACACAAGCCATACGTATTGAACCAATCAGCGTCGACCACGTAGCGGCGGGTATTACCACCAAAGACGACCTATTATATTGATAAGATACTCGAGTGACGGCTCTAACAATAGAGGAGTTTACGTACGACGCCTCCCGGCGGCCATGTTGGAAGACCCCCGCATTCATTCTTCTGACAACAACAGCAGAGTGGCTACCCCAAACTGCATGGTAACAGTACCTAAAACTAGTTCATTCATCACCACGGTCATGTTCTGTAGAGTATTTTCCTGCTCTAACAAGGCAGGAAAGACAACGGGAAAAAAATATGTTTACAGTTTCCCCGCAATCATGAAACACCATTGGTGACACCAAGAACTGTCAGAAAAGCAAAGAAACCTATTGCCCGTCAAGACCTGAACTCAGACAGCTGTCAGAAACGGGTGTGCTACGATCATTTCATCACTGGTAAGTCAAGTCTGATCGATTTCGAGTTTAGCTGTTAAACTAACCAGATGTTAACAACAACATTAAGTTATCCAAAATGTGCTAGCTTGTAGTCTAGCAATTAGCATGTTGTGTCGCGTGAGTTTAAAGGTTTGGGGGAGCTTTTTTTCACCATAGAAATTCACCTTTATAACTAAGGATTGCATGCCTCTATCATCGCATTTGCAAACAAATGTAAGCATACTATTCCTAATGTTATGAGTAAATTGGATAGTGATAATTTAGGCTATTAATAAGCGCGTAGTGGCATAGGTTTATAGGCTATATCAGAGACGTTTCCTTTGCACGTGCAAAATGTGGCCTATGATAAACATTTCATGCAATACACTTTATATGACTGGAGAAATTAGCAGAATCTTTTTCAATACGATGGTAGCCTAGGCCTACTCTACTGACACCATATCAATAAAAACGACCTTGTCTTGAACGCAACCATGTAATCTAGGCCTAGGAAAAGAGCCCTGATGACCTGAAGTGATATTCTAACATCAGGGGCCTGTTGCACAAAAGTAGAATTAAGACATCCGGGATAAATGACTCAGCTGAGCTCAATGAAGCCAAAACATGTGCGTCCAGGCTTAATTGGTTGCACAAAGACCAAGCCAGGATGAGCAGACACGGATTCATTAAGCCAGGTGAAACCAATCCTGGATAGGTGCGCGCTCACGGCTCACTCAAATAGACCCCGCCACAGATCACAGATTAACTGATTTACCATGGCAACTAGAGCCGCGTACTTTTCCCCGTCGGAAGCACAAATCCTCATGGAGGCATACGAGGAGGTAAAAGATATAATTAAGAAGAAAGGCAACACCGCCACAGTGATAAAGCAAAGAGAAAAAGCGTGGCAAAGTATTGCAGACCGCCTGAATGCGTAAGTAGTGCACAATTACACACTCACCGCTCCGCTGAAACATCACAATTACAATTCAAATATTTAATTCACATCTCCAAAAATGCAGTTGTACTGTAATTATGAAACGGTTAAATTTTTAATTGAAATGCACTGCAGATATGAGTGAAATTGTGTAAAGTAACTCCATCACACTGTATAAAGCTATGATACATTTTTTGATATTTTTACTGAAAACAAGACAAAAATACCAAGTAATTTTTTGCAGTGTGACTCCATTAAATGTGTGTGTGTGTGTGTGTGTGTGTGTGTGTGTGTGTGTGTGTGTGTAGATTAAACATGAACGGGCCAAAACGGACATGGCAGCAGGTCAAAATCAAATACAAGAACATTCTGCAGAATGGTATGGTCCCTGACTAATATTTAACAAAGCACAAGCATATATTGTACCCAGAAGGTGCCTGCTCACACATTGTCTGTACTGTTTTAGCAGTGAAAAAGAATACCCACAGACAAGGCACGGGTGGTGGGTCACCAAAGGCTGACCTTACCCCAGCAGAGGACATGGCCTTGGAGCTAAATAAAGGCAGGCCCGTCTTAGAGGGGATCCCTGGGGGGAAAGAGACGAGCATAGGTTCCTCCCAAGATGCCACCCGCTTCATTCAAGGTATGTCCTTCCATCTCTACATGGGATACAACCACATTCATATTGAATCAATTTGGACTGTCTGACTTTGGTTTACCTATTGCCTTGCAGTGTCTGGCAGCACTGTGTTCCTGTTAGAGCCACCAGCACAAGCACCAGACAATGCTGATCCAGTGAGTACTCCATCAAAGGCATACTGTAGGCCTGGCATGTCTTGTCTACTAGCTTCAATATGAATCCGATTAAATGTGATAGGGTGAAGGCCCCAGTGCAGCAGCAACAGCACATGATGGAGACGATGATGAGGAGGAGACCATCTCTCTGGATTCCAGAAGGCATGAGGTATCATGTTAAGACTGTGAAAGTACTATTTACTCTACAATGGTGAGGAGTCCTCATCAAAATCAAAAAATCTAATTTCTTTTACAGGACCCAGATGCTATACAGTGGGAAAACCAGCCTGGCAACATAGTGCGTATTAATAAAAGGACACCACATCCTGCCAAATTCCAGCTGCGCTAATTGTATTGTGTTCACAGAGCTCACAAGCTATCAGAAAGTTGTATGGCAACCACCTCCGGCGCCAAATAGAACTGGCAGACATAGACATTCAGTACAAGAAGAAAAAGATGGAAAATCTTGCACTGGAGTCCGAAATAAAAAAGAGGACAATTAGGAAACTGGACCTTGAAATAAAAAAACTTGAGAGGGAGGTGAGATATGCCTTCAATGTACACTGTATGCTAACTGTAACACAAATGTATTAATCATTATTTTTCTTTCCTCCCCCAGCTCCAAGAAGATGACACAGCTCAAAATAAAAATTAGGTATATTCTCGTAAAGTCAAGTGAGCCATGACATATGAGCTCTTATTGTGAGCACACAGGACGGTGGCATCTTTCTAAGGTTTTTTTTATTTTCCCAGCAATCAGTACAACCAAGTCATCGTTATAAGGCATCGCCCTCTTTTGCCCACCCCCCCAGCACCAGGTGTGGCCACTAGCCTATATGAAGGCCCAAAATTGTGTGTTCCTTTCTGCTCTGACAATGGCATGCCCATTCGTGCGAGATGTGGTGGATGAAGAAGCACTTGTGCTGAGGAGAGCCTTCAGGCGAGAAAGGGTCTTCAGGGACCGGTTGGACCCACTGGCCTTCCCTGATGACCATCTATATGAAAGATACAGGTTTTCTGCAGATGGCATCAGGTATCTATGCAGACTACTGGGTCCCAGGATTAAGCACCGCACTGCACGGAGCCATGCACTGAGTGTGGAGCAAATGGTTTGTGTGGCCTTGCGCTTTTTTGCTAGTGGAGCCTTCCTGTACTCAGTGGGGGATGCAGAACAGCTGAACAAGGCCACAATTTGCCGCACAATAAGGAGTGTGTGTCTGGCTATCAAAGCATTAGCAGATGTCTTCATCTCCTTCCCTGGCCACAGAAGACTCTGTGACATCAAAGAGGAGTTCTATAGGATTGCAGGTAAGAGGATCTACAAATTACAGGACAACTGTTAACACATAGTAGGATACTCATTACTTTGTGTGACAGGTTTCCCCAATGTCATTGGTGCAGTGGACTGCACACACATAAGGATAAAAGCCCCCTCAGGTGCCCATGAGGCCGATTTTGTGAATAGGAAATCCTTTCACAGCATTAATGTTCAGGTGAACATAACTTTTTGATATTGTCCATTGACGAACACTCTGCATTGCCAGTGATGTGCATTGATTGGTGTAATATTCCTCATCTTATGATTTCAGATGGTCTGCAATGCTGACTGTGTGATCAGCAATGTTGTGGCAAAATGGCCTGGCTCAGTCCATGACTCCAGAATCTTTCGGGCCTCTGAAATCTATCAGTGCCTATCACAAGGTAAGCCACACAACCCCTATTTATAACCATCATGGCTGTGTCAAGAATATCACTGTGTTTATGAGGTAGTAATGATGAGATTTTGTGTTGACAGGTGAATTCTCTGGTGTGTTGCTGGGAGACAGGGGGTATGGCTGCCAGCCTTTTCTCCTGACACCTTTCACAGACCCCCAGGAAGCACAGCAGGCCTACAACCATGCCCATGCCAGGACCAGGGCCAGAGTTGAAATGACCTTTGGCCTCCTGAAGGCACGCTTTCACTGCCTTCACAAATTAAGGGTCAGCCCTGTTAGGGCATGTGATATTACTGTGGCTTGTGCTGTCCTCCACAATGTGGCCTGCCTGAGGAAGGAGAGGGCCCCCAGAGTGCCACCAGCCATGGACTGGGACAATCCGGCAATCTTCCCTGATGACGACAGTGGTCGGCTGCTGAGGGACCAATATGTGTTGAATTATTTTAGTTAGTATGTGTGCTTTCAATTTTGGTTAAATATGTCCTGCGGTGGCAGAGGAATTTGGGTTTTTTTGGGTTCGTTTTTTTACGAATTTGGCCTCTTATGATGTTTGTGCGGTATACTGTGTGTAATACAAGGCTGCAGGGAGGCTACTGCATCCATTCATTTGTCTGTTCAGTTGATGTGTATGGATTTGTCCTGCATTTATTTTAGTGTGCAGACATGCAGGGTGTGTTATATACAGACCTTTGAATGTGTATGTATCATTTTGTATAATATGCTTGGATTCTGTGCTTTCCATCTTGTAGAGTCACTGTGACTTCAGTTTCGAAAGGAGCTGATGGTTTACCTGCTTTGTTTTGTCCTTATTCAATAAAGGAACATAATGTTACACATTGTGTTTTTATATTCATATGGAATGTGTATTTGTTTATATGACAGAGTACTAGGGCCACACTGAAGAAAAAGGATAAAGTCATAAATTTATGAGGCTGGTTCTTTCTGCAGAAAAGCTACATATTGTTTTTACAGTTTTGATACTTATGACAATGTGATACTTAATATTCTGGCACATCAGCATGTCTTTGTTTATGAAACCATACTGAAGTACAATTTCACGAAATGCCCCACATCTGTCATTTTAACAACTGTCCTCCTTTAAAACAACTGGTTAC